CCTATAGAGACTTTTACATCATAACTGCAGCATTTTCTTGTAAGCTACAGGGAAGTGAATTCCTTTTATGACCTCTTCTGTGAAACAGAATTCAACTTTTACAATAGTAAGAATAGAAATTTTTCCCTCTGTGCATTGATCAATGGGCCCAGAAGCTTACCGGCTTGGGGACAGTGTATGAGCTCCACATGGGCATCTTCATGGCTTTTCCGTACCCGCTGATATATTCCCTATGGTAAAGCAGACAGTGGTCCTTGTTCTTCTGCAAAACCCTGGGCCTCCCAAATGGCAAGTTTACTTTCACTGTTGCTGTGACTAAAATAAAAATAAACGTATTTGTGAAATTAGAAAATGTTTCTATGCATACAACTTCCACTGTCTGTATATTATGTTAAGTATTTAGATAAATATTTTACAAATATTTTGAGTCCTACAACAACTCTATGAGATACGTGTTTTTGTCTCATTACACGCTTTGCAAAAGTAAGGTTTAGATAAGTAACTGGGCCTGCCAAGAGCCAAGATCTGAAGCCTGCTCTCCTCAGCTCCTTATCTTTAGGAACTCTCAAGACATATATGAAGAGAAAAAAAACCCTTGAAAGTGAAAGTGCATATTTTACTAGAAAGATGATCCACTTTAATAATTGTCATAGAAAAAATGTTGGCGTTTTATAAAAAATATATCTATTATTGGGACCCAGGTTCAATTCTTAGCACCCACATTGCAGCTAACAACCATCCATAACTCCAGTTTCCAGGGGATTTGATGCTTTCTTCTGATCTCCATAGGCATTACACAACATGGATGTACTTACACACAATCAGGCAATATACTAATAAACATAATTTTTAAAAATATATTTATTATAGTCTGAATGTTTATTCCCTCTCAAGTCACACTGAAATCCTTTCCCCCAAGATGATGATGGTTTTTGGAGCCTTTGGGGGATATTTTAGGTCATGAAGCAAAGCCCTCATGAATGGAATCTGTGCCCTTATAAGTGAGTATCCAGAGTCCCAGAGAGATTCTTTGCCCATTCTGCTATGTAAGGCTAGAATGAGGAATTTCTTATCATTCACCCCTAAACAATATACAACAGCTATTCACAGAGTTTATATTGTATGGGATATTATAAACAATTTAAAGTTTATAGCAGGATATGCAGAGGTTATATGCAAATACTACACTATTTTACATAAGGGACTTGAGCATCCTCACATCTGGAGCATCTAAAGGGATCCAGGAACAGTCTTCTACAGATAATAAGGATGACTGTATCCCTGTTTTGTAACAATGAAACAGAGGCACATTGACTTTAATGAAGAATAGTAACACTGATGCAGGGAAACAGTGTTGCAAATTCTCTCCCTGGACTCTTTTCATTTTTACAACTACATGAGGTGGGTGCAACCACTGTAGATGAGGAGACTGAGGCACAGGAAGATAAAGTGATTTGCTTCAAGTTACATAGGGAGGAAGCTGCACAGTCGAGTTTAACCCTGACATCTTAATTTGTTCACATCTTATAAAGGGAATAGGAGACTGTAGATGAGGTACAACCATTTTTAAGAATTTAGCAAGTTAGCCATTCTGTTATTAGAGCTCTAAGTTTGTTTGCTTTTTCCTCTTGTATATTGGTCATAAAAATCTACATTCAAAAGACTTTGTGAGCTTAGTTTGAAATATCCCCAAAGGGAAATGTTGCATTTTGTTAGCACTAAGCATCAAATACTTAACATGGTTTCTACTGACTTACTGTCTTCTTGGGTGAGATTTAGATTTTGGTTTACATGCTCCACTTGACTATTCTGCAAAATAATGAGACAGGGAAAGGAGGAAGTAAGTCTCAGTGATAACATGTTTTAAAGAGTGATCAAGATTATTTCTGCAACAATAACATGAAGTGTTTTACTACTGAACAAAACACCAGTCTAAATCCCAAATCTGTCACCACTCAGAAACACAGAGTTGCCCCTGTTCTACACATCTGCGTGTGTGTGTGTGTGGGGGGTGTCTGCGTGTGTGTCCATGCACACGCAGAAGTTTGCAAAGATATTGTTAACAGGGCAGAGCATTCTGACCACAGATAGAATCAACAATTAAGTTGGGGAATACTCAGCGGTTAAGAGAACCGGCTGCTCTTGCAGAGAACCTGGGTTCTGTTCCCAGCACCACATGGCAACTAAAAACCATCCATAACTCCAGTTTCAGAGGATCCAGTATCCTTGTCTGGCCTCTGTGGACATTGCACAACACAGGTACACTTCCATACATGCTGGCAAAATGCCCATAAACATAAAATAAAAATAAACAAATCAAAAAATTAAATCAAGTTGGGATAACTGCATTCCAAAGCCTTTCACGTTTGATATGGATCTAAGTTCCTTAAGGATGTATCAAAATTAGGTTCTGATTCAGTAAACCTGGGGGAGGGCCTGAGATTCTGCTTGTCTTCCAACTTGGAAAAGATGCATAAGCTGGCCCTGGGGCCGCACTTTGAATAACAAGAGGTATTCTTTATAGAAAGGAACTCTGGGTTTGCAGTCAAACTAGGTTTGTACAACCGTGGACAATTTATCTAACTTCTCTGGGGCTCCTTTATCTCTAAAATATAGAACAAATTACCCACTTTATGTCATTATTGACTCTCATGGCAGTTCTATTGAAGTTACCTAGACCACAAGGCAGAAAACCTCCCATGGACGTTATCTGGAAGTATATAGCTAAAAACCCAAGACCTCAACTCCAGTCTTTGCAATGGACTTAGCATTATTGAGAAGTCTTACTGAATTTCTATTCCTTAAAGTCTTCCCTAACCCATAACAATGAGGAACAATCCTTACCTATTCTGGCAGCTGTTTATTTGCCTCTAGAACTACATTTTGAACTTGGCAACAAATAAACTTGACATTCATTTGAGCTTGATGAACTCCTGATAACTGGGCTCCAATTTCATTCTGAAATTCCAACTCTACCCAAGAGCCTTGATTCTTACAGATAGGCTTGGTCCTTGTATTTCAAGCTCCTCTTCTGATTCCCTGTCCTTAGGCCCCCTCCTAAGCATTGGAAGTTTACCTTATTGTGGGTCTCCTGGAATCTGAACTCAGTACAGTGCTGGATCTATTAAAAAGACTTTCTTGGTGTATACTGTTGGTCTTCCAGCATTCAATGACTCCTGATAGGTTCTTCACTGCTATCCATAGAAATACCTGATAGCACATGCTGTACTGTATCTAAAGCCCAATAACAATCCCTATTCCCTCTACTCTAAATATCTGAGTGTGATCATTTGGTTCTTAAACTGTGAGAATGGCTTATAAGAGAAATCAAAGAGTGCCAAAATCACTATTTTAAATGGTTAAGGAAAATCAGCTCACAATAGAATTGACAATTTCTTTCTAAATAGTCCTCTCCAGTTTACAAAGCATACTCACATACTTAATCTTATAATGTATGTAATAATCTCTCACTTCTAAATGAAGTTCAGAGAAACCACATATATTTATTTAGTAAATAGCCATAGCCAAAAAACAAACCTGATGGCCCCTTTTCATTCTTGTAAATGCATGAAGTTGTTACTTACATTTTGTAGCTCAGAACATGAGCAGCTTAGGGTGTCCACAGGCAGTGGAGCTGTAAAGCCACAACCAGACGACATCGATAATTCCCCTGGGTGAGACGGCTCATAAAAAGGCACCTTCAGAAGATGGTTCAGACTACCATGTGTACCGTTGTTTGGTGCTGGTTGAATGTGTAGAAGATCTATTTTTTTAAAAAAAGTTCAAAGTATCTTAGAATTGGAAGGCAACCACTCCTCTGTGGGAGGTGGGGGACAAATAAACTCCTACACTCCCTGCCTTTCATAAGCTCTGATGTAGTACATCACACATTGTATCTGCCTTTTTGACTGCAGTTTATTGACTGCCATCTCCTGAAGTCTCCAGCCTCTTACCTGTCTGAATCAGAAGTCTTCACATGTAAATTGTTGGGGACAAAAAAATAAAATACCTTGATGAATGCTGTAAGAACTCTGCATTTTGATAGAAAACTCTGTTTAAAACGTTGATTTAGATTTACTTGCTAGCTTGCCTGTTCTGCCTGATTGTATCTACCACACATGGATGATTAACCTAGTTGAAATGTTAAGAATTGAAGTGCTGTAAACCTCCTTCCTGGACCCTGGACCCCTGACTCAGTTGATTTACAATGTGTCCTGTAGGCCTGTTTGCACACACCAGATAACCGATAAGGAACAAAAGAGGGAGGTTGCGCCAGGCTTACACCAGATCTACCCTTCCTGGAAAAGATGTTTAACCGAAACTATAGCTTTTAGAAGATGATTGATTAAAGTGTCTGCTGAGGAATGCTTTTTGTGTAATGACTGTGTGGGCCTATATAATCTGTACCTGAAACTGAATGGGGGTCGATAGTTCTGACCAGACCTGCGTGTCTTGGGAAGCCAGTTGGCCCCAGCAAGCTGGAAAAGTAAAGACTCTGCTTGATTTTTACATCTCCATCCCGTGTGTTTGTTACCTGGAGGGGACCCATCGAGTCACGGACCCTAACATAAATGTCCATGAACTTCTGTTCCTCCAGAGAAAAATTTCTTTGTTTCAGTGATCTTTGCCACTTAGGTATACCCTGGGTTTCACTAGCATGAAAAACTATACTCTTCATACAAATAAATGTTTTGAAGTTAAACTATTGAAAATCTTACTTACAGCCTATTTACCTAATTACATGAAAATTCTCTAAGAATGGATACTTTTTAGAAACTAAACTAGGGGATGGTGAGATGGCCCAGTGGATAAAGATATTTTACTGCCTCCGGGCGTGGTGGTGCACGTCTTTAATCCCAGCACTTGGGAGGCAGAGGCAGGCGGATCTCTGTGAGTTCAAGGCCAGCCTGGTCTACATAGTGACTTCCAGGACAGCTGGGGCTACAGGGAGACCCTTTCTCAAAAAGACCAAAGGAAAAAAAAAAAAAAAGATATTTACTGCCAAGGCTGAGACCTGAGTTTGATCCCTAGGACCCATGTGGTAGGAGAGACCTGACAAACAAGTTGTCCTCTGACCTCCATACTTGCACTGTGGCACACTCTTGTGTGCATGTGCACACATGCACACACACACACACAAACACACAAGTATAATTTTTAAACTGGTAAATTTTGTTATTTAGAGAACTTGTTCTAATTTTCCCCACAAAACAAAGCATATCAAGTATTTTACAAACAGCCTTTTCAGTAGCTCCCAATTATACCAGGGGGTTATTTGAACTGTACCTTGCTCTCCCCACCTAGTCCTTTTCCTGAAGAGAGGTTCTTCCTCAGGTCTAGGTAACTAGCTTCAGTGAGGCAAATAAAGGGGACCCACCTTTCCTGGTGCACAGGGAAGATGTTAAAGCAGTTAATCTACTAAAAATCACTACTAGTGTTAATAATAACGTCTTTAAATCTTTATTTGCAAGCATTCTTACAGTTCATTCCCTGTAAATAGGCAAAGACATGAGGTCTGGGCAGTTTGACTCCCTCTCTGCTGCTGTCCTGGCTGCCTTGAGCAAAGGGACTCAGTCTAACAGTCATCAGGACTACCCTCAGTCTAAGTCCTCAGGACAATTACCCTCTTGACAGCATCAGTCACCTGAACTGTCCACACAAGTCTTCAAACACTACTCAAAGGGGCTGCAGTGGCTGATTTCCTCAGCTCCTGAAGGCAGAGCCTCAGCGAGGGCTGGTTCTAACAGTTCTTCTCAGACTATACCATGGCCCTCCAATAAACTCTAACTGATCTTGCAGTCATTTTCTCTGTGGTCAGGGAAGAAGCACTTCCCCTGGTGTTCTCACAGGGATATTGCTGTAATTAGGACTATGATTGATCGAAAACACAAGCCTAACTGATTGTCACTGGTGCTATGAGACAAAGGTGTGATCGACCCAGACAAATGACTATGATGGCTCCGAACACTCCTTCTTGGGCTACATAAACAAGCTGCTTGAGGTCACTCTGAGCAGGCTGGGATGCCTTCCTGGTGTTGCAGCATCAGACCCAGTAAAAGGATCTTAGGTGGGTAGTCATTTCTTGCCTATCTTCAGTATCAAAGGCTGCACTGAGAGCAGTTAAAAAGAAACAGCAGGATCACTGAGTGTTCCACAGACCAAGCTCTGAAAGCCCCAAGGCAGGGAGATCACTTGACAGTTGACTAGCTGAAGTGACAGTGACAGTGACAATCCCCCCATCCCCTGCCAGTACTCCAGCCTTCCCAGTGGCCTCACTAGATGCTTCAGTCTTGATAGAGGCAGACACTGTCAGTAGTGCCCACAGCCAAGCTGTGGAAGCAGAAAAGGTAGAAAAAAGAAGGCAGCGGAAGTAGAGAGAGAAAAAAAGCCAAGACTAAAGAAGGATAAATGGGCTGGTGCTTAATCCCAGCACTCAGGAGGCAGAGGGAGGCAGATCTCTGCTCCAGGCCACCTAAGGCTACACAGTGACACCCATTCTCAAGGAAGGAAGGAAGGAAGGAAGGAAGGAAGGAAGGAAGGAAGGAAGCAGAGGAGCAGTGCTTATTAAAGCCATTACTTCTTTTGGATTACTAAATAAGCTTCTCATTTTACAAATATAGATAGATAGATGATATACAGAGGATAAATAGATGATAGATAGATGATAGATAAACAGATAGATGATTGATAGATAGATGATAGATAGATAGATAAATGATAGAGATAGATAGATAGATAGATAGATAGATAAAAGGAGCCAGAGAAGAGTACCACCAGAGAGCTCAAGTCTTCAGATCCCAAGAGTATCAGCCCCCTGTAGCACTAACTGCTGCCAAGGGCCAAGGTGCCTGATTACCCAAGGCCTACTTGAAGACTGCAGCATTAGAGGGCATCATATGCTGTTGCTGTAGTCTGCCGCTGCTCCTCACTGAGGGAAATCAAAGCTGCCAGAAGACAGCACTTTAAGAACTTCTCCTTGAAATCAAGCTGGTGCTGACTTCAGAGCCTCATCTCTACTGACTGGTGTTCATAGTTCTGGGAGGTGCTATGCATGTCACCTGAAGAGAACATTAATCATCAACCTTACCTAGCTGTGAATCCTGCAAGCTACAACAACTGGCCTGGGAAGATATGTCCACTGGTGCAATATTGGCACAAATATTATGGGAGTAACCAACCATTCTCTACTTGGATTTAAGGTCTGCTTCATAAAATGAAACTCAAACTTGACATTGATATCAGGATTAGGAACCTGAGGCTAGACAGGTCATAGGACATTTGGGAGTTTTCTACTAAGTAACAAACTGACTCCTAATGACTTATTGCTATACCTATAGATTAATTCATTTTCAGTGTTCACCAGAGAAGTTTTCTTATGTAGCAGATGGTGATTAACACAGAAACCCACAACTGACCAATGTCTATTTAGTGTGTGTGTGTGTGTGTGTGTGTGTGTGTGTGTGCGTGTGTGTATGCATGCATGTGTGCTGCAATATGTGAGTGTGGAAGTCAGAGGATAGCTTGTGGGAGTTGGTTCTCTCCTTCCCCTATGTATGTTCCAGGATCCAGCCTAGGTTGTCAGGCTTGGCAGCAAACACCTCCACCTGCTGAGCCATCTCATCAGCCCCATGCTGTTTTTAAATGGGACTTTCTGTTCTCTTCAGTGACATTCAATTATAATAAACCAGTAACAAGATTAAGAGAAACAACTCTGAAACTGTTTAAGTCAAACTGATAGTGAAATCACAGCATTCTCCTTGAACTGACTAAGTAAATAATCTGTTAATGGACTAAGGCAAGCATGTAGGCAGAGAGGTAGATTCAGTTCCAAAGAGAACTTTTTGTCACCTTCTTACACTTAAAGACTTTTCTTTGTACTTATAAGAAAACATTAGGGTTTTAAATGTGTGTGTGTGTGTGTGTGTGTGTGTGCGCGTGCGCACGCATGCGTGCGCACATATGTGTGTAAGGGTCTTCATGTACCTGTGTACATGTGGAGGCCAGAGGTCAACATCAGGCTGACCTTGTCCTCAGTCTCTCTCCACCTTACTTTTTGAGATGGGCACTCACTGATTGGTTAAACAAGCTGGCCAGCAAGCACCAGGGATCTGCCCAACTCTGCACCATCAGCAGCAGGGTTATAGGCTTTTACAAGGGTGCTGGAGATCTGAACTGAAGTCTTCATTCTGACTAAGTCCTGCCCTAGTTGTGTCTATCCTCTAAAAAACTGAAAGTGATATTTTATTTTTCTAAATTTTATATAATAACCAAGTAATAAAAAAATCATGGTTTTTTAAGATACAAATTTATCATTGCTGAGGAACAAAATATCTCACTGACATAACTGAAAAGTCTGAATAATGGTAATTTTCCTTACCTTTTCTGAGCTTTTTGTCTTCTGAATATACAACACCTGGCTTTCCATTTATTCCCAATTTCAGATTATAAATACATGGCAAACTATGTACCTTTACTGGCCCATTAAGTTAAATATACTTACCACACAGTAGATTATAGACTTCAATATTTTCAAATGATTCAATTTCAGTCTTCTCTTTAAAACTGGGTCCATGTGCCAAAAAGATAGCCTACATAGTAATAGTCACATCATTAGTAGATGAAATATAAATTCAAAAAGTGTAGGAAGAGACATACATCTCCTTCCTTGGTGACTCTCATTTGAACGTTAGACCTTTGTAAGAATTTCTTTGGGGAATCAAAAACGTTTTCTAAAATCTTAGCCATCTGTGATCTGCACCAATCCCACTCAACTGCGATCCATGGTGTGCTTGCTTTTCTCTCTACCTGTTTTCCCAGCACCTGACAATTCAACAGAGTAGGATGAAACAACGGACCGTGGGCAAGCTATATTAGCATAATACCAAGATGTCTGGAGGATACACACTAGAAATCCATCATGCTATACCATGCATGCTTTTCATATTTCTTTCACATCATTGCTCAAAGACAGTAACATATGATGCAAAATGCTGATGCTCTGAGAATTAATGTTTTGCTCAGATTCCTAACCTCTTCACCTCTCTGGCACCTCTTCATTTACTTATGGGATAAAGAGACCTAAATATTTTGATTCACGTTTAATTAATTCATTCTAACTCTATAGTATTTTAACAGATCTAATTATTTGAAAATGTAAGCAACTCAAGTAGCAAGCATTGGTCAGCAGTCCGTGTTGGCTAATGGAGGTATGTGTGTTTTTCTCCAAGATGACCAGTGAAGAGTTTGAGGCACAGGTATTTTGCACAGTCATAGTTATCACATAACCCCATATTAACAGAAAAGCTGTTTCTAGGGATCTTCCAAGTGTTTACAGAGATATAACTCACCATGACCATGTTAAAAGACAGTGTGTTCATAAAGGGCTTAACATGTTTTCTTTTCTATTTGGAAAGGAGAGAGAGAGAGAGAGAGAGAGAGAGAGAGAGAGAGAGAGAGGTTTATAAAGGTGAGAGAAAGAGAGAGGGAGAGAGAGAGAGAGAGAGAGAGAGAGAGAGAGAGAGAGAGAGAGAGAGAGACTAATGGAACTAGGTAAGAGAGTTAAGCTGCAGAAATGATAAAGCTTTGCCCACGAAGCAGTGTCCACTTCGTTCTATTCCTACTTCCTCTAGGTACTGCCTCCCTGGGCTTCCGGGGCTCTGCACACTCCTGGTTTTCCTCCTCACTTTAACTCTACTTCGAGGTCTCTCCTAAAAAAGCTTCTAGCTTTTTCCTTCCCGATTCTTCAAGTACAGGTACCCCACATTCAGTCGTTCCTGCTCTTCTCCTCTATCCATACTCAGTTCCTGAGGACTACACCTAGTCCTCTATGTTTTAAACAGTTTCTAGATCTAAGACTCGAGTTTTTATGTCCACAATAGACTCCTCAACTGCCTATTCAATGTCTCTCCTTGCACATTTAAGAAATACTTCAAACTGACTTGTCCAGCTGTCCTCTTGCTCCTTCCTCCTGAATCAGCTGCCACAGTACAACATTGCTCCAGTCCCTCAACGGCCCTTTTGTCCCCAGCACGGTCCAAGTTTCTTCTGCCTCGGCCCCTCACTGTACCCTTAATATCTGAGAAACTAGCTGTTTCACCTTCAAGTCTCTGTTCTGATGTCACCTCAGGGACTCCTACTCTTCCTTACTATTTAAAGTGCACACCACCCCATAGTGCCCCCAACACTCCCAGCTGCCCCCATACTCTGTTTCACCTTTTTCTCTTTATACCACAGCGCTCCACCTAACGTTCCACATCATGTATTCCTTTACTGGGCTCTGTCTGTACGCCCCCCCCCCCCTTGGAATGAAGCTTCCTGGGGACACAGAGGGCTTTATCTGTTTGTTCACAGTTGTTTTCAAGAACCTTAGATGTTGTTCATCACACTGTTGATTTGTTTCTATTTTTAAAATAGCAATATGTTTACCTCCATGCTCTTAAATTCATTGTCATAACCATGCGTGCCTCCTTCACAGGATGAACTTGAGTAACTCCTGTGAAGAAATAATATTAGTATATACTAATCAATGTACTGATATGAGATATTATTGTAAATCGAGCTTTAGGTAGCTTCTGTTTTCATGCTTTTCTTACAACAACAATATGAATATGTTATTTTCAGACTCATGATTGTAGACAAACAGAATGGTAGGACAGAAAGTATGAGAATTCTAACTTAAAGAGAATTTAAAAATTGTTGACTCCAAGACATTGACAAAGAAGCAGTAATAATAGGTGCAGATTAAGAAGATTTCACCTTTGTGGCTGGTTGGATGACCTGTAATAAACTTTTTAAAAGATTTCACCTCATATTAATTATATGATTAAGAATTTCAGTGATTTAGGAATAAAGTTTTGGCCCTTGGAGAAACACTGATTCCTGTTTTGCAATGGAGATGTCTAGGGAGATAATATGAACCATGAACGAAGAACACAGGGATTACTTGTAACCTGGCAAAAAGAAGATTATATATTCTGTAAATTCAAGGTTCATTTTAATTTATGGAAATTTCTTCCTTAACTTATTACTCTGTTACTTAAGTAACTTAAGTAACTCTTCAAATTTAAGTAATTTGTCTTTGCCTTTTCCATTTTTTAAGCTTTGAAATTAGTGTTATCAGTCTTATGCAGTTAGTCAGACAAAAACAGTGATAAATGAACTTAGATTTTCTTAAAACAGCATTGTTATGCTGATTCAAATTTGGGGAAATTTTCATTTCCAAAGGGTATCTTGAAAGGTTTCTCTCATCTGCTTCCTCTCCCTGTACCTCCTAGACACACACACACACACACACACACACACACACACACACACACTCATTTGGGTTTGGGGTGGGGATAGTGCTGTGTTAACACTGAAGACTCAACTGACACAGAACAGCAATTTAATGACTTAAAAATGACATTTGAAAATTTACAACTAATTGTCACTTAGCTTAGACAGAAAATAAACCATAACCTTGACTAGCATACACTTGATTCAATCCATCATCAGAGAGGAAAGTAAATAAATCTAAGAAACCAGACGTGAGTGCAAGAGGAATAAGACTTTGTAAGATATATAAATCTGATTACCCTTGAGGTATGAGTTCATGTCCTTATCTTAGTTAATTCCAAATAAAATTGGTGGTATAAGGTAAAGGTTGAATTTAAAAAATATTTTTATTCTTATTGCACAAATATTTTGTGTCCTTAGGTACTGGAATTGTTTGATTGGAAATAATTAAGTTTCATGCTCTATGTTGAAAGCTAGAATGTTTATTGATGAAAGAAATAAAAAGGTCTTTTGAAACAAGACTAGCAAAATTTTCTAAAATTGGTCCTACATATATATATGCATATATCTTTATGTATATGTATGTATATATCTTTTTGCTTTCATAAAAATCTAATTTTTTGTGTTTCCATCTCCTAGCCTAGTTGAATTTAAAAAATCATAACTATGCAAACTTTCATTCATAAAGAAAAACTAAGTATTTTTGGAGAAGCTCTATTTTTTCTGTATTCCAGTGAAAACTTAGAGATCTATTCCTCGAATTGCTCATATCCCTGTCTTCCAACCGTTTCTGACTGTGGAAATTACATATGGAAAATTGAGAGCTGACATTTGGAAAAGATGAGCTGATTTGATCTGCGATAACTTATCTTGACTTCCAAGTATTGGATGAACAATTTCTCTATTATCTTTTTCCTTCCTAATTAATACAGCTGAGATCAAATCTAAGTGTCTCCACCATAGCTGGGTAATAAGCGGAACAAGACTTCTCTGCTGGTACCCAAGCAAGTGGTAAGTCCTGCCTCTCTTATCTCCTTCCTGTTGGTCCTTTCCTTCCCTCTTCTCTGCCATCACCCCAGGCTACATTCTCATCACATTTAACCCAAATTCCATAGTTGACCATACTGTTTTCAGAACTTTAGAATCTTTCCACATGATGCACACATCTCTAGTGTTTGAAAAACACTTCCTAAGCACTGATGGAAACAGAAACGTGTGTTCTAGTGAGTACAATTATATGAAGAAACAGGACTATCCTGGAAAACCTGGGTCATAAATTAGCCATAGTGTCATACTGGCCATGTGCTAATGTCACCATCCTTGGCTCTGTAGCCTCTTTTGAGGCTGTCATAATGCTGAGCAATGGATCACTACCTAAGACTCCAACCTGTCACAACTCCCTAGACCATCCCACTCCATAGAACTGAATAAACTCTGTAAAATGTAAATTTTACTGTATTCACCTCAAACTACCTGATACCTACCAATGACCCCTACTTTCTTCAAGATCTGTCATATCCCTTAGCCATGATACAGAAGTCATTCATGGTTTGCAGCAATAGGGACACCACTAGTGATTGCTGAGACCTAGTTCTCCTGGGAACCTACCTCATTTTCTCTATTCTTTCTTGTCCCACAGTTGCAACTGGGTTTTTTTAAGTCTCTATCTGCTCTGGGAAGATCTGGAGAAAGAAGCCCCCCTTGCAGTTCACAGGGCTTGACAAGTAGATGACACCTACCAAAAAGAGTGGGTCAGTTTCCTCCTGTGCACATAGCCACCAGCCACCAGCAGGGTTTGGTATGCTAAGCAAGGCTTTGATTTCCACTCTTGCTCACTTTCATGGCATGTGGGGTTCCTTATACTGTGCACAGACTGCATGGGGTAGAGCTTATGGATAGCAACATTTAGCTGATCCCATCCTGCGCCTTCCAAACTCAGGTCAGGAGCCGTGCCACCAGGATGCCTTCTCTGATGTTGCTGACATTCACACCTAGGTGTCCCACCATTTTTGCAACCTTGAACCGTGTGTTTCTAACACAGTGGTTGTCATTCTGATTTTGCCTGTTTGTCTTCCTCTCCCCAGCGGGAAGACCTTTAGGTAGAACTATGGTTGTTTTTTGGTTTGTTTTTGCTTTTTTGTTGTTGTTTTTCTTTTAGAGGTAGCTGGGGTGCACTTGTACTTGACAGTTGCTGTTCAAACATAAAAAGCAATCATTCGTGTTCTCTAAAAAGACACTGTAACAATTCTTCAACTACGGTTCCAAATAATTGAGTTTCCTCAAATTATTATTAATTTAACACACCATAGGCAAGAGATATAGATATAGTTCCTGAAATTCATTATACTTGTGCAAAGGGAATCATCTATTTACCAAATAACGCTTACTATTATTAAGGTTGGCATTTAATAGGTAGTCTGGGAGTCGTGTTTTCAGAGTTGGACATCAAATGAGCATAGGATTTGATCGGACTAATTCTCAGTTGTTCTTATTAAGGCTGCATTCGGTATTTGTGACATAAGGCAGTGTACCTTGTTGGTTACTAGCAAGAGAATAATAAAACAAAGATCATCTTGTGTTATGGGTGGGAAAAGTGAAGCCCTAAAATATTAATTTTTCTGAGTTTCCACCAAGTAGCTAGATGAGAAGCTGGGTCCTGCCCTCAGGCTGATGCCACTTAGGCATTGTTGCTAGTTGCTGAAAGGATGCAAAGCCCATGGTTTGGGCTGGAGAGATGACTCAGCCGTTAAGAGCACTGGCTGCTCTTGCAGAAGAACTGGGTTCAATTCTCAGCATCCATATGGTGGCTAACAAGTGTCCATAACTCTAGTTCCCGGAGATCCAATGTCCTCTTCTGACCTCTGCAGGCATTTCACAACATGGGTACACATACATACATGCAGGCATAACACTCACATACAATACACATAAAATAAAAATAAATAAATAAATTTTCTAACACCATTGTTTAGAGCTGGGCATTGGCATGATGGCCCTCCTTCTATGACTCTCATTCTGTACCAATGGCCTCTTAATTTCTGTTTTAAATTTTATTTTTATTTTATGTGTATGAGTGTTTTGCCTGCATGTATGTAAGTGCACCCATGTCATGCAGTGCCCGCAGAGGTCAGAAGAGGCCGTCTAATCCCCTGGAACTGTAGTTACGACAGTTGTTAGCAGTCTCGGGGTGCTGGGAATTGAATCTGGGTCCTCTGCAAGAGTAATCAGTGCTCTTAATCACTGAGCCATCTCTTTCTCCATTCCCTCTCCTAAGCTCTTTGATCTCATACCCTAAACAGTAAATACATGGAAACTATACCTCCATTTAGACATATATGTAAATTACTAACAAAATTGTGTGCTTAATACTAAAGTTTTATTTTGTTCACTTATTTTAGGGAAATACTTTTAGAGAATGTGATCCTGGGCTGGGCAGGATGTAAAGAACTGAAGACGAAGAAACTCTGATCCCAAGAATAGAGATTAGTGCCACTTAGTGACACAGTGAGGAACTACATTAGAGGCTAGTGCCATCTAGTCGCACAGTGAGAAACTGCATACATTTTGGCTGTGTATTTCCACGTTATTTTTTGTAGAGTAAATTTAGTCAAGTCCCCCAGCCTTTTTTTGAGATTGGGACCAACTTCCTTGTCTTTTTTCATCTTCTCTTTCTTTGTCAAGCATTTATTTTAACCGCTGTATTCCCACTATCATTGTGCCCTTCCCCTGCCTGTGTTGTTACACTCACACCCATTAGGCTAGAAAATACAGAACAGAACTGATTCTGTTTGTATATTTATGCATGAGGAAAGAAATACTGAAATTAAATACAAAATCAGAATAATTTGTTCAGCTACAAGAAAATGGACATGCATTTGTTTCCTAGCTTATTATCACTCTTCCATGAATAGGAATGTCCTAGAAGAGGAACTGTGTCTATGTTCTAAATACCTGGCAACAGAGAGCAAGCATTTGTCAGAAATGGAAGCCACTGGTTATTGAGGACAGAGAGATTCAAGAGGGTTTTCATTTATTTCTTCCTCTAAAAGAATTTATGCAAATGCTCAGTGATCAACACGAATTATAACTAGAAGAGGTATAGAAAGCTTTGCTTTGCAGCCATCAAAAGACTATTTTATGGAAGCCAGGAAGATGACAGGGGTTTCCAGAGCCAACTGACCAGTCAGCCACTCACTCCCAACCTGGACAGTGACAACTGTTCTCACCTTACTATATCTGCTACCTTAGTGGACAGCAAGTCAGGATAGGAAAGTGATGACTGTATATCCATTCTCAGATGCCAAGGAGCTCAGAAAGTAACTGACTGTGACTAGTAATAATCAGATACATAGAGATTAGAAACGCGTGTGCATCTTAGTGTCAATTGTATTAAAAATGAATTTTTCTGTTAAAAAAAGTGATATTACTCATGTTTTCAAAGCACTGGTTGAAACGGTCTCAACCGTCTTCCTCATTCTGATCTGTGTTGTGAAGATTAGGGTGCTAAGAGAAGTCATCTGACAAAAGGTCAAAGGAGGAAGAGCTAGGTAGCACAGAAAGGCCAAGAAAATGTCAATGGTCAGGTAAGTTTATGTGAGCATAAGAGCAGGGTAAAGTGAAATTAGCCCATGAGGAAAGATGGCTGCTGGAAGTACCAATAAATGAATCGGCACACAAACCTCGAAGCCAGCCACTGTCGATCCACCATAAGATGAACTTTGTCAATTCTGATATTGTTGGCGTAGTGTAGTCGTTTTGGCAAATCAGGAGTCAAATAGGGTTTGAAATGCTGATTAGGTTTTCGGCACTGAAAAAAAGGTGAACATTTCTCCCATGAGATATGAAAACTAACTTTAAAAACATCATCTTAAGACAATTTCTTAAGCACTTTTTAAAATGAAGTGCATTTAAGATTAGCTAATAAAACAAGATATTAAACCTATTGTCAATATGGTCAAATTCTCTATTTATATGATATTTATTATTGTAACAATCATTAAGTTGAAATTTAAATTTTGATTAGTTTGATGTTTGTCTTAAATTTGTATTCTTGGGTATAGATCTTAAGCCGTCATAAGTTCTCTTTTTTGACAGAAATTGGATTATGTCTAGATTTATATGGACAATTCCAACTTTTGGGTGGAATTATATATGACAAGGATATAATGTATTAGAAGATATGGACATAAAACTTACAAATAAGCTTAACTGTAACAAAAAATCTCCTTTGCGTGTGTGTGCGTGTGTGTGTGTGTGTGTGTGTGTGTGTGTGTGTGTGTGTGTGTGTGTGTCTTTTTGAAACAAGGTCTCCCTGTAGCCCCAGCTGGTCTGGAATTCACTACATAGACAAGACTGGCCTTGAACTCACGGAGATCTGCCTGGCTCTGCCTCCCAAATGCTGGGATTAAAGACATGTGTCACCATGCCCGGCACAAAATTCTGTTCTTAATTGACTAATTTTATCTTTACGATAGCCAGTTCCTTAGCTCTTAAATCACTTTTGAAACTAAATACATTCATGGACTCTTCAAAAATTAATAAAATTTTGTTTCTTTAATAATTGCTACTATATTTGAAAGCCATATTTTAAAACTTTTTTTTATTTTTGGTCTTTTTGAGTCAAGGTCTCCCTGTAGCCCCAGCTGGCCTGGAACTCACTATGTAGACCTGGCTGGCCTTGAACTCACAGAGATCCACCTGCCTCTGCCTCCCGAGTGCTGGGACTAAAGGCGTGTGCCACCACGCCTGGCCCATATTTTAAAACTTTAAAAATGAAAATCATATCGGTATCTATTCATGCAAAAGAAAAACAGAGAAATGAGTAAAAGAAGTACAGGGAAACTTTCTTTCACGACCTTTCATTAAGAGGTAAGAGGGGAAAACACATACGAACAGGTATGAATGTAAAGGAATGTTGTAGGAAACATACAAAAAGCTCAATATAAAAATTTAAAAAATAGAATAGAAGGAAATGAAACTCTATACCCTATTTTCTATACCTTATTTTAAAGTATAGTAGTCATTGGTGTTAATAAGCTTGTGTTATTATGACCAGTTTACATTAGACAAATGAACTGTGAAACAAAACTTATAAAACAAAAAGAAATACAAGAAATGGAAGGGTAATGAGAGATTAGCAAACGAACGTATTCATTACACTTCCACCAATTTGTTGGCTTTGGTTTGATGTTTGTGTTTGTGCCTATTTTGGTATCTTGTCCAGGCTTCTTGCTGTTCTGCTCTGTCGTTTATCATGACTTCCTTCTCAAGCCTATATTTCTGGGACTTCCTGATAGGCACCTGGAAGAGCTGTGAGTGCAGCTTCTCCCAGAATTCCAGAGTACCACGTGCCTCTGAGATCAACAGGCAATTCGATTAATTAGACTTTTTCCCCTGGTGTGTAAAGTAGATCCACAGAAAATAAGTCAAAATAACAGCTTCTGAGAATTTGGTTCAAAGAGATCAGAATTAAGGTAAGCATTTGGTCACTAGGAAGGAGGTTGGTGCTACTGTCTCTCATTGGGCCAGGATGTTGTGGAATTTAGTTTCCAGTTCAGGTCTGGTTGAGTTGGTACTACCCCATGAAGCATTTTTCTAGGGATAATGGACTACTTCATAAATAGCATCCTGCCCATTTCTCTGATGTCGTGTAGCCCCAGACCTAGTCGACCTACTCTACATCCCTGATGCCATCCCTGATGCCATAGCCCACATGACTCAACCCCTTTGCACACTGGGATTATTAAAGATGAGACCTGCAGCTACATGCTGATCATGAAGTAAAGGAACAAAAGAAAAACAGTAAGTGGATTTGGAGAGTCTACATATCGACATTTTTGGACTTCACCGCCCCCACACACAAAATGAATGCTGTACGTACAAACCCATAGGGAGAGAGATTGCCCATCAGTTTATTTAGGGTCAGCATTTTGTAGAGGTGTAAGGGAAAAGAGGAGCAATTACCATTATGAAGGATCCCTATGCTAACAATCACTTCTACTTGGAATGTGCATTAGGTTCCTGATTCTCCTGACCACTGTTTATATTTATCTTCAATCGTTTACCCTCTATCCTCCCAGTTGTTACTGTTGGTTTAACAGCTATACTTCAAACAACTTAGCATCATTCTGAGCAATAATAAACTCACAAAATCCATATGAGAGAAATAGACTTGCGAATATATTTTAAATATAACCTCTGAGGTTCCCATATACAGGGCCAAGAATGAGCTTTGTAGAAGAGAGCATAAGGCCAAGTCCAATTCTCAGTACTACTGAGGCAACCAAACAAAAAAACATCTACCACATAAGATCTCTTTTGTCTCTCCAGCAGTATGGAACCCTACTTTGAAAAATGTTGCTTTAAGTTAGCCTGAATTTTGTTTACAAATTTACTTACAACCCACAACATAGGAACCAATTGAAAACAGTTGCAATTATACATAGGATGTAAAATACTAGTTTATTTTTCTGACCTCAAAAAGGTCTATTAGAGTCTATGATTCACTGTTTTAGGTATTGAGTCACACAGAAACTGAGGCAAATGATGCAACTGTATGCCCACTACAGCCCTTTCCAGTGGGGCACCCCCTTTCAATGGAACCCTGCAATCAGTGCTATTGTTACCTATATTTGGTGGTAATGTCAATTCCAGAATGAAAACAACTAAGATAAAAGCAACTAAAATAAATTAAAATCTGGATGTAGCAGTGTAGACCAGTAATACCAGAACTCCAGAGGTAGAAGCAAGAGCAACCCAAGTCCAAGGCTAGACTGAGTAGAGAGAGAGAGAGAGAAAGAGAGAGAGAGAGAGAGAAACACCACCAGCAGCATCAACAATAACAATAATAGTAATAAATTAAAACAATTTAACATAGAAATATATAATAAATAAGAATTTCTCAACCCAAAATAAGGTCATTACATTTGCTCAGATGTACTAAGGGGACTTACGCTGAGGTTCCTGACAATTTCTTCAGAATTAACTGTTTCAAAACAAAAGAATAAATCACATTAAACATAAATCACTGCAAAAAAATGTGAACAACTACAGTGAATGTGACATATACATTTATTTTCAATAACTATGATCTGGCAAAATTAAATGAAAAATTATTTAAATAAAAGAATCACTGTAACATTGAAGAACTGAAGTGTATTTTTGATCCCAAAATATGATGCATTACCATAGACTTTCTAGATTGACCATACTCAAACATGGGAATTTCTCATGTGCTCCTGTGGTCTTCCCCAAAATTCACAAGGGAGCCTGGGCATCCCATCTGCTCTCAGAATCAACTTCTTCATATGGGCGTTCATACTTACAAGTAAAGAAGTCCTGAGGTATATTGTGAGCCCTGATCCGGGGGGCAGGTCCTTCATACATATAGAAGTTTATTTGGGCAAAATAATCAGTCATGTATTCCACCCTGTCACAAGAAATCTGGTCCATTCCTGTATAAAAATGAATTCACTGAATGTATGTATGCATTATATGAGTATACACACACCTATCTTTCATTATGTCAAATAGGAAATAGTTTGCTATAAATCTCAGATACAAGTTTACTGAGAGTTTACACAGTTACTCAATTACTATTCCATAAATGCAGAAGTTGAAAACTGTGACAGTGTAGAATAATCACATTTATGAGGTGAAAATAGATCATGAATGATGAACTATTAGTCCAGTGCTGATGAATTAGTGACTTCAAGAAGAGGCTTCTGTGGGTTAATGAAATCTTTATAATATCTGCTCTTAGCACAAGACAAGCAGATACATCGTTAAATCAATATAGGAATATGCACTTTTTAAGATAGTGCATTAAGAGACTAAGAATTTGAAAGCATTTACTTAAAACATTTTAAATATATTAAACAATATACATATTTAATATGTATGTTGTGTGTGCACATTTGCGTGCCACAACTTGAGAGTGCAGAGATCAGAGGATAAGGTGTGAGAGTCAGTTGGTTCTCTCCTTCCACCAAGTTCATCTACCATGTGGGTCCTGGGGATTCAACTCGGGTCAACCAAGCTTGGCATCAAGCACTTTTACCTGCTGAGCCATCTGACAAGCCCCTGAACATATTTACTTTTAAAGACACTTTTGGATTTATATAAGCACTTAGTTGAGTGTGGTGGTACAACATCTTCAGTCCTAACACTCAGGAAGCAGAGGCAGGTGGATCTTTGTACAACTTAGACCAGCCTGATCTACATAGCAAGTTCCAGGCCAGCTGATCCTGTCTCAAAATACAAACAAAAAAAATGAAATTTTTATAAGCACCATGTTCTGTACATCCAGTTGTTAATTATGTCTTTCTTGTTGGTAGACTCTTTAGAGTACATGCAATGTTTATTTTTAACAATTTCTTTTAAATGAATTGTGCATTAAAGTTCTTCCTGTGATTTTAAAACAGCAGAGAAAGATATCAGAGAACCATTTCAGAAGTGTTTTTCAGGATCCTGATGTTCTAAAATACAAACCAAAGCTCTGCACCCTCCCGTTCTTGCTGGCACCTGAGTCTTTTCCTTCACAGCCGTAGGACTCAGCTCTCAATGTTCCCCTCAGGAAGACAACCACCCTCCTCCAGTAGAATAGGCCTGCTTTATGTAGGGATTTCTAAACACCACATCTAGTAGAGAGCCAGCACCAAAGAGGCATTTAAAGATCATTAGTGGGGCAGGTGAGTGGTTCAAAGCGGTGTGATATGCAGGAAGCAGGCTTTGCTTCCTTTAACATTCATGTTAAGAAAATTCAAACTGAGAAAAAAGAGACTATTGCGATTTTTATGGACAAGAATTGTAATTAAACACACACTTATTCACATGAGAAACACAAGGAGTCTGGTAAGTCAACTGCCACAAAAGAATCACTGCTGAAAAGAAAATTCAGGCCAAACAGCATATTGTAGACTGAGTAACAATCCAAGCACATTCATGTTAAGTACTATTAGCATCTCTCCACAGAAAATAAATCATGCCAGTAGATTTTCAGAACTGTTAAATAGTCAGACTGGAGGCGTTAGTCCTCTTTTCTTCATAATCTATCACCAGATTCTTTCTTTACTTCTCTGATAACTTCTATGTCTAGAAAATATAGACATTATTTGTGCATGATCCTTAAGGGGATAAAATATATCAGTGGTAAAGTATGATTTGAAGAATAAAAAGAGCATACCATGGTCAGCCAGGATGATTAGATTGACACAGTTGTGTAAGTTCCTTTGTTTCAGACCCTCCATCAACATTCCAAAGGCTTCATCAACTAACTGCAAGGCTTTAATTACCTTTAAAATTTTGAAGTTAAGAATGTCATTGTAAGTTCTTTCAGTTAACCAAATAATCATCTAATCAAGTAAAAATTAAACACATTTTGTTTTCTAAACTTGTTGGGTTTTGAAACCAAATCTCAGAGATCAGCACTGATACCATCATATTTACAAAATAAAATTCTCTCAATTTCTATGAACAACAAGGAAAAATTGAACCATAATCCCTGTAAAGGAAGTCTGACTACAGGCCAATAGACATATGAAACAATATTGAACATCAACAAACATCATTCAACTGTAGATGTTTTCATAATAATACCTGATGGCAGAGACTGGAGTCTCAGACTCTTCTAAGAAAGCCAAAGGGTTACACACATTCTGAAAGAGCCTGTGACAGTGGCAATCAGATTGCTAAAAAGGAACGTATTCTATGACCGAGTGATTCTATTTCTATGCAAATATTTAGAGAACAAGGGAAAGTACATACCCCAAGATACTCAGCACATTATTGACTTATAATTTCAATTCTAGGAAAAATAATTAATGCACAAATTTTAAGACATGGTCTATAGCCCTTACAAAGCATTGTAAGTGTATATGTGTATACATGTGTATGTGTGTATGTGCACACATGTGTATGTGTACACATGTGTATGTGTGTGCATATGTGTACATATTATGTGCGTACGTATGCATGTGTGTATCTGTGTATATGTGTGTATTTCTGGAGATCAGACTCATAGCTACATATGTGCTAGGCAACATGAGATACTCTCTCAGTCCACAAAACTTTTTTAAAAATATTTATTATTTTTATTTTATGTGTATGAGTGTATTGCCTACATGTGTAAGTACACCCATGTCATGCAGTGCCTGCAGAGGTCAGAAGAGGCTTTGGATTCCCCTGGAACTGGAGTTAAGGATGGTTCGTAGCTGCCATGTGGGTGCTGGGAATCGAACCCAGATCCTCTGCAAGAGCAGTCAGTGCTCTTAACTGCTGAGCCATCTCTCCAGCCCCAAAACTTTTTTAAAAATTTTATTTATTATTATTATTTTATGTGTAGAGTGTATTGCCCACATGTATGTGAGTGCACCCATGTCGTGCAATGCTGCGGAGGTCAGAAGAGGGTTTCAGATTCCCCTGGAACTGGAGTTAAGGATGGTTCGTAGCTGCCATGTGGGTGCTGGGAATCGAACCCAAGTCCTCTGCAAGAGCAGTCAGTGCTCTTAACCACTGAGCCATCTCTCCAGCCCCAACATAAAACTTTTAAAGGAGAACAAAAGCATTGGAAAATGTTCAGGATACCATATGTACATTAACAAATGAAAGTCAGACTGTAAACACATCTATACATATTACATAATTCTGATTACATATTTAAGTATGTTTGCCCTTTCTGAGTAAACACAAATGAACAGGAAACGAATAGAAAATATATGAGGTATATAAACAATGGTTGTCTTTGAACAGTGAGTTGGAGTACATTTTTATTTAAATGTTTATAGTCTTTGTGTTTTAGGGTTTTTGTTTGTTTGTTTGTTTCGAGACAGGGTCTCACTATAAAGCCCTGGCTGGCATGAAGTTTTTGAGTTTTAAATTTTTTCTATACTTTATCAATATAGTACATTGAACTGACCTAAAGTTTAGTTAAATTTCACAGATGAAATTTTTCAGTATTGTTTAGTGAGAAGGGAAGTAGAATAGCAATGGATTAGGGAGATGTGTTTAACCTCTCAAAGTATTATAACAATTATTGCCTTTTTGTCTTCTTTTGAGACAATTTCACAAACCAGGTAGACCTAAGGACACTAGTGCAGTGTCCCAGGAAATCCTCACAGAATGCCCTCATGGACATGGCCTGTGCTGTTAAAATGTCTAGTCATAAAGGCTTAACCTGCACATGGGTCCACAGTTAATAGCAGACAAAGAAACGAACTGAACCCATGCTCTCTCTAGGACTAAACCCAACACCAACTCAAGATGATTTCCTGGCCCCCAATCTCAGGCAATTGCTCTCTGCTTTGTTGGTCACTGCCCTGGTTTCCACCTGTTATTTTAGTATAAGGTCCCTTTCAACATCAAAATCCTAGTCACCCTCCCAAGGCAGAGTCAGGGTCTACACCTGACACACTGCTATCAGAGGATGTCTCAGGGTCCTGAAATCACTCACACATGCATCCTTCCCACCCTGAAATCAGTCATGCATGTATCCTTCTACCTTAAGTCATTAAGAGCTCCTGCAGGGAAAAAAAACATGCACCCATCCATGTCCTCCAATTAATAGTGTCTTTTAGGTTACACTCCATGGAAAAAGTAAGTAGCTTTGGAGATGATACGATACTGAATAGGAGTAAAATGTTTACAGCTGTGGCTTGGTTGTTAGAAAACTCAGCTTCTCTTTTGCCTAGTGTGCACAAGGCCCTGGGTCTAATTTCCAACACCAGGGGGTAAAAAAGAAAAATGCAAGAAAGAAAATACTGCTTTATACAGAGTTATGATCATTCACTTTCACAGTGGACACTGGGAACAGTAGAATCAATTCTGGTAAACAGGTTAACTGGTAAGACCCAAGTAAACAATTGTGCTTTGAATTCGTAATTTCTTCCTGTAAAATTGAGTTCAAAGCTGAAGAAGACCCAGCTGGCCAGAAGCTCTACACAGTAATGCTATAATCTGCTTTCCAAAAGGCCCAACATCTGTCCAGAGAAATTGTACCTCCACATTTCTCCACAGTGAAGTTCACCGGTGCTCTGAAATTCTGCCATGTGGGCAAACATTATCAAGGAAAAGTCAACAGGGTGCTGATTTCAATCCCTCATCTCTACTGCCTGTTTGAAAGGTGCTATGTAAGATACCTGAAGAGAAAATTTACATAACTCTTACCCAGCTGTGAATCCTGCAAGCTACAAACAACAGGCCTGGAAGATATGCTTGCTTGTGCAATAGTGGCATAACTATTGTAGGAGTAACCAATTACTTTCTAATTGGATTTAAGGTCCACTTCATAGGATGGAGCCCACTCCTGACACTGATATCAGGCCTAGAAACCTGAGGCTAGGGAGAAATCATAATACAAATATTCTGCTAAAGAGATAAAGTATTAAACTGATTTGTAATGACTTATTTTTATACCCATAGGATAATGCATTCCTCAACTCTTATCAGAGAACTGTCCTTATACAGCAAATGGTGATTAACACACAAACCCACAACTGGCTAATGGCAGAGAACAGAAGCTGTAAACTGTTTATTCCTGATCAAAGCACCTGAATCTTTACCTCTTCAATTTCCACTCTTTACTCCCTCTTATGATATCACTATTTCCATGCATATCTACATGCTACCAACTTCCCAGCCCTTCATCTGCTTTGAGCTTTAAATAAAAATTCAGTTAGCTTCCGGAGACTTCCATCACAGTTATCTCAATTTCACGATGAGCATTTCCTCCCAAATCACCGCCCCCCCAAGTAGGCTTATAAATGTCAGTGGAGCTGCCATCCCTTACCTGCTTGTTATGACAGAAAGCAGAAATGCACCATTGCTGTCTCATCCTCACCTTCTCATACCAAGTCTTGCCACATCTGTCCCCTAACTGAACCTAAAATATACCTTCTTCCGGCCTTGAGGGTTGGCTTCCACCCTGGATCAAGTCAGTATCTTCTCTATTCTGGAACGCTGCAGAGACTAATCTCTGTCTTCTCACCTGCCTTCCTCTTACCCAATAAGAACAATTTCTAATACAAATGGAACTGGCCATTCCACTTTCCCAATGATGACAATAATTCAATGTTTCTCATCACAATCTTACAGCCTGCAGAGATCTGCACAGTTTGATGTCTTCCCCCTTCTCTAGGCTTCTTTACAGCCTTCTTTCTGGGTTCCCAGTGCTCATGGGTGAGAGGTAATATTCACATAGCACTTCAAATAGCTCTTAGCACAGAGTAGCTCACAATAATGGTTTGCTATTATCCTTACATTGTCATATGGTCCATTTGTGGAGCCATCTAGCCATGACCCCATCTCTGCATTTGGCCCTTCCATGTGTATCTGTGGTATACTCCGTTCCTTCCTCTATCAGGCCATTTTCAAATTCTGTTCGTTTCTGTTACTCAGGGGAGACCCGCCTAGGAGCCACAATTCTTCCTCCATCCACTACTAGAAGAGGGTGACTTCAAAGACATCTCTGTGCCCTTGGGTCACTTCATTTGCAGCACTTTTCATAAACACGTTTAAATTTTATATGCGTGCTATGTAGAGCACTGAAAAGAAAAGGAAAAAACGGAAATGGTACCCAATTTGCAGTCAGCGGCAGAGGGCAGATAAATGCAGATAGTGTTCTTTCTCAGATTAATCTTATCAAATGTGAACAGCATTGAGTAATGTTAAAATAGAGAAAAAACACGAGAAGTGGGTCAGTTAGTGAGTCATTCACTTTTTTTTTTTAAAGGGTCTCCTTGTAGCCCCAGCTAGCCTAGAACTCATCATGTGGACCAGGCTACCTTCAGTCTTACAAAGATCTGCCTGCCTCTGCCTCGTGAGTGCTGGTATTAAAAATGTGTACCACCCCACCCAGCTCATTCACTCTTGAGTGTAAAATCCTGCCTAAAGTCCAGAGTGGGCCTGGACCTCCGAAGAGGCTTACAGGCTTACAGGTAGTGAGAACTGAGCACCACCTTGCATTATAGACCATTTTTGTTTAATAAGAAGGAAGAAAACAGACTTCTCTGGTAAATATCAAAGGCATAGGGCCAGAATAAACATGCTTGAATTCCAGTGTACAGCAGTTAAATGAGTTTTCATAAGGCTGGATGCCATCTTACTCCTGAGAGCTTTTATAACTTCACATTATGTGCAAGACAATAGAGTCTTGAGTGGAGTCTTGGAAAAAGAATGGCTTTGTTTCTGAAAGCATTTTTAAGGACTATATTTATGTGGAAAAGTTGTATGGGAATGATCCAGCTAAGGAAGAAACTGATATTAGTGGCCACTCCAGTGATAATGGGGCCCCTGAGAGAAATGAGGAGGCACTTGTGGGGAACTTGGGAGTGCAAGCTTGTATAGTTGATAGGTGGGCAAGTGATGTCATTTGAAATGGCAACTTTACCATGTTGAATGGCCCATGCAGTATGTGGCCTGAGTTTCTTACCATGTGAATTATCAATGCCACATCTATTCTTTCAATCAAAAGAATCAGTGATTAATAAGACAATTATTCTACCTACAACTTTAACAGTTTCATCATTAAAAAGATAGAGATCAACTTTAGACTTTTTAACTGTTTTGATCTTCTCATGTATTTATTAGATGCATTTTGTTTAGCAGAGATGAAAAAAAATCCTGCTTATTTTGTAGGTTAGGGCTAGACAATTTTCCCTTTTTTTCTGTTTTTGAGGGGAGAGGTTGTTTCTGTTTTTGTTTTTGTTTTTGTTTTAAACTTACGCCAGCACTGACTGGTCCACTCTTATGTCCTGCAGAATCAGGCTCTTCCATATATATGGTATAAAAATTGGGCCTAGGGGTAAAATTCAAAGAAAGAAAGAAATTAGTAATTTGGGATAAAACCTACAAGACGGATTTGGCCATTTTGTAGCTCTTGAACATGGTGGATGTTCCTGCCTCTTTCTCTCTGTATTGCTCTTAATTCAGGCCAAGTAGCTGTACTTGGTCTGAGCAGAGATGGGCCTCTTAACAGGTAAATGATACCTGCTCTTTCATAAGTGCTGTTATGCCGCAGTTGTGAAAACGTGTCTTATTCTTGTGGGTGTGACCTCAAGATGTGCCCAACCCTTTTTACTTTCTGGTTTCTGACTTATGGTTGGCTTTCTTTTCTCTGTCTAGTTCTTCTTTCAGTTATCTGGTTTCTGACATAAAGTTTACTTGCTGCTCACTTTCAGTATGCTCTAACTCCATCCACTCTCTGGGAATGGCTTTGCTCCATCTCTCCAACTCCTGGAGTCCATCCTCAGAAACAAGTGACAGGTCCTCTGTCATCTGTACCCCCCCGCAACTCCAGGTTATCTGCCTTTCCTCTCAAGGACTGGCTCCATCTCTATTATTAGTATCAACAGTGTCCTAAGAAGCACCAATTATTAGTAATAATCCTTGAAAATGCTCATTAAAAGGAAATTCCAAAAGTTACTGTGGTAGTATATGCCTGTAATCTCAATACTCAGTAGGCAGACAGGGTTATTTCAAGAAGACTAGCCTGGGCTACATAGCCAAACCCTGTCTCAAAAAGATGACGAAGATGAAGATGAAGAAGGAGAAGGAGAAGTTGGAGGAAGAAGAGGAAGAAGAGGAGGAAGAGGAAGAGGAGGGAGAGGAGGAAGAGAAAGAAGAAAGAAAAAGAGAGCAGAGAAACAAAGACAGGCAATGCCAAGACTTTTAAGAAATGGTCATTGATAATAAAGAAAAAAATTCCAATTTTACCCACACATATATGACACAATGCCCATACTTCTTCAACATAGAGTATTACCTTTCAGCTTTGGGCAGATCAAGCCATTTTAACAAGGTAAAGATCCTCTTTCCATATGGAACAGAACTGAAAAAGAATATTTTTTTTTAATTAATCAAACAATTTCTTAGAAAGAAGAATCATCTTCAAATAGCTACTTTGTGGTCCTACATGATGAAAATACTGAAAGGTGTTGAGCATACTCAAAGGCTTTCTGTTTTCAGTACTTAACCTTCAGAAACACCTGCAACACTATATGTAAATACATATTGTTTTCTTTCCTCCTCACTCTTCTCTCCTTTAATTTTCCCCAACTAAAATAAAAGTTATCAATTATTAAGCATTCTTTCTATTATCTTCATTTATGCATTCACATATATTGGTCATCTATTGGCATAAAATATTTATTCATTTAGAACAATTTAATAAATGAGAAAGACAATACATTCTGGCAGAAGACAAAATCAACAGCAGACCAGATATCTGTGTTGTACAGTGTTGAAAATGGTAAGTGCTAAGAAAAACTTGAGTAAGGGATTCTGAGGAAATGAATGGTGTTCTAAATCTTAGCAGGTTTGAGGTCAGATGCTATTGAAAAAGAAACTTTTGAGCAACAAACTGAAAGAAGTCAGAAAGTAGATATTTGATCCCTGAGGGACTCATCTCAAGTATCGGGAAGAATGGTATGACGTTCTCAGTGCAAAATCGGCCTGGCATGTTGAAGTCCACCAAGCGGTTCAGAGTGAGTGCTGGTGGAACAGTTGGAAAGCAGTCTGACAGGTTGGGGACAGTGGATGTCATCCCACATAGAGCCTTATAGACTTTTACTCTGATGGATCCAGGAATCCGTTGACATTTTGGTGCGCAACAGTACATTTTGGCTACCTCTCTTTAAGCACTGCTCTCACAAGTTTTCTTAGAATAGGACATATAAGCACATTAGAAGGAATGCTCAGCATGTGCCTAGAAGGAAGAGACTGAGTAGTTGAGGGATGCATCTTTCCAGCTATTCTTTTTACAGATGTTATATTAGTGGTCTTCTGAATACAACTCTCCTAGTACTGTTTCCATACAGTACTACATTAGAGCAAAACACATTAGAAGCAATATACAGAATATGCATATTGGAAGCCATTGAAATCTTTGGTAAGAGTAGCATTATTGGACTTGCATTTTAATAGAACTCTTTTGGTTGATAGAATGGGAATAGATCACAGGGGCTAGGAAACCGAGAAATGTGAAAAGTTGCAGCTACCATAATACAGACAAGGAGACAAAAGTTCAAACCACAGTGGTAATGCCAGAGGTAATAAAAAAGAGACTCAGACTGTGCCTGATAGAGCATGCTTTTGATCCCAGTACTCAGGAGGCAGAGGCAGGTGGATCTCTGAGAGATTCAGATCAGTCTGCTCTACATAGTGAATTCCAGGCGAGCTGGTACAACAGGGAGACCATCTCCAATGACAAAAGTAAGTAAGTAAGTAAATAAATAAATAAATAAATTTCTCAGACTGCATCCTTTGTGAAGTAGAATCAAAAGCATTTACTGACAGACTGAATAAAAGATAGAAGAGAATCAACAACTGAAAGAATAGACTTAAAATTATGACTAAGACAAAAAGGGGCTATAGCGTGTAGCTCAGTGGTAAAATGTATGCTTATCAGGTATGAGGCTTAGGGTTCAATCTCTAGCACTGAAAACAAAATAAAATGACCAGTGAGATGGCTCAGGAGGGAAACATGCTTGCCACTGAGTCTGATAAACTGAGCTGGATCCCCAGGACCCAGATGGTAGAAGGAAAGAACCAACTTCCACAAGTTGTCCTATGATCTGCAGGCACACCACACCATACACATAATACATACATACATACATACATACATACATACATACATACATACATACATACATACATACATACATACATACATACATACATACATACATACATACATACATACATACATACATACATACATACATACATACATAGGAAAAAATCTATAAATAAATGGGAAAAATTAAGTCAAAAGAGTTCTAGTCAACCCTGCCTGGCTGGACTCTTATCGGAAAAAGCATCACTACCCATTGTAATTCATGTATCTGGAAGGGAAGGAGCCATTGATGGGCACTTCTGATCCTGGCCAGTAGTAGGAAGCTGCTTTTAAACCTTGATAGATCGCCGTCAGCCAAATCTGTGAAGAGAATGAATACTCAGGGTAAGTAAAAGTCAATAGGATAATTGGTCTGAGTACAAATGGTACAACTTATCTCAAATAACAATCTTTGATTGCAAAACTTTTCAGAATCATTAAAATCTGTCTTTGTAATAGTTAAAATTTCTAATTAGGCAAATATTTTCCTCAAAATTAAAACACATAGCAAAACAGTAACAAACTGATAAAATCACACAATTCTTCATCTTTGAAGGAATTTTATAAAACAGTATAAGGAAATAAATAATCTCTCTGTGAAAGTTGTAGATTGGTACAATGATAGTGTAATACCCAAGTTTTAACACAAATCCATTTGAATGAGCAATAATAAATATTTTAAAAATTGAAATAATAGTAATAAAGTGGTGAAACACCTTCGCACCTTCAGCCATTGGATACTACATAGATAAAGTGAAACTCAGTGAACTAAGAAGGTCGAGCCTTTGTCACATGGACTCAGAGGCTCAGAGGCGATGAGGAGACTGGCACGTACCGGTTGCCCATTCCACCAGGCAGGATTATTTTTCTCTGCTGAAGAAAGTGAAAAATTCTTGTTGAAATTCACATCGTACATGTTATTGTCAATGATGCCATGTGATTCTGGATACAACCCCTAAAATGTTGATTACAAAAAGAACATTAAGAGGAAGTATACTTTAGTAAAACATAGGTTAAAATAGCAAAGGGTTTATACTCATATCTGGGAAGGGTGCTATATACCTTTCTACATAAAAGTCACAAATCTGAAACTTCCCAGATCTGAAATTCTAAATACCATGAACATACATATATTCTTGTCCTAACATGGTCTACAGCAGCAAATGAATGGTAGATAGTTTGTATTGATGCTGTTGTGGCTTGAACAACAGGCTCATGTGTTTGAACCCTGTCTCTAGCTGGTGGTACTATTTTGGAAGGTTGTGGTACCTTTATAAAGTGGAGTCTTACTGGAGAAAGTGGGAGGTGGGTCACTGGGGACGGGCCTTGAGGTATCTTTTTTTTTTAATCTTAATTTTTATTATATTTATTTATCTATTTATTTATTTTTGCGTATGTATGGGGGGCATGCAAACACCACAGCAAATATATAGAGGACACAGGACAACTTACAGGAGTCAGTTCTTTCCCTCCATCACATGGGTGCTGGGGACAGAACTTAGGTCATCAGCCTTGGCAGCAAGCACCTTTACCTGCTGAGCCATCTTGACAGTTCAGGCCTTGAGGTTTTATGGCCTTGTCCCATTTCCTGTTTATTCTCTGCTTCCTGACACCCATGCAATGTGGCTGACCAGCTGGCCTCCTACTCCTGCCATAATGCCTTCCACCATGATGAAATGAATCTCCTCAAACTGTGAGCCAGAATAAATCCTTCCCTTCTTGCTTAAATTGCTTCTTGTCAGGTATTTTGTCACAGCAATGAGAAAAGTAACTAACACAACTCATGTGTGCTTAGTTACAGTTGGTTGCCTGCAACTTTTTTCACTCACGAAGAAGAATACATTTGTTTTTGCTACTTTAATCCAAAAAGATGTCACCAGTATGAGTCCATTTGTAAAACAGAATTCTGTCAAGTTAAAAATCATGAAAACTAGAAAAGAACAAAATTTCCCACATGGAAGTGGCTGTCTGTATACATTGCTTACTGTCCCAGCTAACCTGTCAAGGAAATGGCAATCAAAAGGAGTAGAAGAGAATGGTATTTCTTACATGACTGAAGTGTCCTGGCCTCACAAGGGCGAATTAACCTAATGACAGTTAATGAATGCCTCGTGGCACTCTATTGGCCTCATGTTGAACCATGCCTTTCCAGACTGAATGAAGTCAAGAGCTATCACACATGTACTTGTGAAGTATGTAGCACAGGCTGCTTGGCCAGTTCTTGCTTAATATGTCTGTCTGATGCAGTTTCCTGCCTGTGGTCTGTCAGTTTTTCTCACTGGGTCAAGCACTTACCGTGACAATAGTATAATGATTTGGGAAGGTTTTGGTAGGATACACAGCTCTCATGTATTTTGAATGAATTCCGCATGTTTCTACAAGGCAATATGGCAAGAGATTAGAAAGATATTTTTTTCCTCAGAAGAATTTTGGATAACTAAAACTATGAACATGTTTCCCACATCAACAGAAACCTGAAAAGTGAATTAAAAATGGAAAAAGATTGGAATTCTGACCCCTAAACTCTGCCCATTCAGAAAAAGTTCCAATTTTAGGAGAGAAGTGGCCCTTTCCTGTACAGACCCAGGTGACACTGAGACTTTGCAAGGTCATGTGGTTTCTATTGCAGCGGCTCAGTTCCACCACTCAACCACCAAAGCACCACAGGTGATACACAAATAAATGAGCATGGCGGGGTTACAATGAAACATTATTGATGAACATTGAAATTTGAATTTGTTACAATTTTTACATGCTGCAAGATTTTCTTCATCTTTTTTAACCCACTTAATAATGAAAAATAATTTTTAGCATATGGCAGACCAAATGAATAAAGCACAGGAGACAATATTTAGCTCATGAGCCCCAGCTGGCTGACCTTGGGGTAAAGGCACCCTAACTACCAGCACTGTTTTGTTTCCTCTCATTATACCTCTGTGCATTACAGCAAGAATTTCTATATAGCGTTCGGTTAACAGCCAGTAGTTTCTATATGTGAAATATTCAACAAAACAAAAATCAATGGATCTGTCTAGGCACACAAAAAGGCATTCGACTTGTACAAACCCATGCCACCCAGAAACGCTTACAAAATAGGGTCTATTTTCAGCTCAGTTTCCATTTGATCTGTGAAGTTTCCTGTAATCTGTTTCTCACAAAGTATGTCATTAACTTTGCTCCCATTGTTCTGTTGTTTTCACCCTGTGAAAGGAGGTCAGAGCCACTGGAGCAGGTTGCTATTTCCTTAGCAGCTGTGAAGTAAATGGAATGTTCCATAACCAAATCCCACTGCCTCTCACTCTAAAAGCCAGCTCTCCCATCATAGATTCAAAAAGTAAGAAGCCTTGCAGCTGGAAACAATGTCCTCCCAAACAGATATGAGCTTGGTTCCTTCCCAGCCTTTGTTTGGTGTTTTCTAATATGATCCAGAAATTTCTCCTTGAGAATCATCTAGGGTTCCATATCAAATCCACTGCTTAGGGGCCTCTGATGGGAGGAGGGAGGTGGAAGTGTGTCCTGTTTAAGACATTATAACTAGGTTGGCTACAAAGTCATGAGATTAGTCCACTTACGTTATTTAAGAATGTAAGTGAGAGGAAATGTTATACAATGAATTAAAATATTTTCAATCAGTTTCTATTTTTATTTCCTTAAAACATGGGTGGGGAAATTCAAGTTTCTATATAAATGCCTGAAAGTACTGAGGCATAAAATAAAATGTAACTAAGCTGCCAGTACTGGGAACACAGGACACACCACCCTAATTATGATGTCCTAAACAGGACACACCTGTTGATGATCTGCAAACTCGGGTTACCACGTTTTACCATCTGTTTTTTAACCAGGCCACCAGAGGCCTGCATGAAGCATGATTTCCCAGTATTGTTTCTTTGAAATCTTAATATAAATTATAATCTAACAGACTACTTCTAAAAAGACAAATCAATCAATGAGGGTTATTGCTTCAGTCAAAAAGTAAGAATATCAGGGGTGAGGTTTTGTTTTTACTATATACCTTTCAAATTTGTTTTAAAATATCTCTATGTGCATAATTTACTTCTAGACAACATTTTCAGAGAAACACGTGTCTTGAGGCTGGGGAGATGGCTGTCAGTAAAATGACTGCTGCACAAGCATGGGGACCTGAGTTTGGATCCCCAGCATGCAGCACCCACATCAAAAACCAGGTGGGGTGTGGCAATATGTGCCTGTAACCCCAGCAGAGACGCCAGATGCCTGGAACTCGATGGCCAGATAGTTTCTGTATTGATGAGCTCCTGATTTGGTGAGAGACCTTGTCTCAGAAAATAAGATGGAAAGCAGCATATCAACTTCTGACCTCACACACACAGGTACACCTGTGCATATACAACTACACAAACACACACACACATACCTACACATACAAAATTCTAAACAAAAAATCCAAAAATGTAAAGAGAAGAAGCACATGTAACTAGGCTTACATGTTGACAGAAGACTAAATGAACAGTAGTCAAATGAACATCTGTCACATGAAATGTGCAGATTAAAGCTTCAAAGCCATCTATGAAGTTCCTATGAGGATAGGCATAATGAAATATGAATTAAAATATTTCTAAAGATGATGAAATACAAACTGCTCAGCAATATTCACAGGCTCAAAATATGGACCTTTCATTTTCCACAAATCTTTTCTAAAATTTTTAAATTTTATTTATTTTTTTTGCGTATGAGTGTTATGCCTTCATATATGTAAGAGTACCCATGTCACGGAGGGCAGAGGAGTTACAGATGGTTGTTAGCCACCATGTGGGTGCTGGGATTCAAACCCAGGTCTTCTGCAAGAACAGCCAGTGCTCTTAACCACTGAGCCATCTTTCAACCCTGTTCACGAATCTTACACCCTCTGGAAAGATTAGTTGAATGGTTAACCTCTGTCACATCCAGGACACAGTGAAATCAAGCTCTGCAGGGATCTGATCTTCCCAGTAGTTGCAAGTATGTATCTAAGCCGTTAGTTAGTGGACAGGAAAATATAAAACAGGGAGTGATGTCAGCATTGTGAGAGAATGGGAAGCCCTGGACTCCACCCCACCACAGGCACATCATTCTATAGCAACACATGAATCAAGTCCCTATGTGAAAAACCCAGAAATGACTTGAAGAGCCTGAAAGCCAGACAAGTATGAAGACAGGAACAAATAACTGCCATAATTCCCTCCCACCCAGCATTGTAATACCTCCTATATGATCTGGTGGGAACCTCCATTTCCCAGCTCTGCCAGGTAGGGAAAAAAATCAGATTACATATCTAATGGCCAACTTCCCTAGTCAGGTGATTAGCTTCTATCTTACTTGTCTCAAAGAGCTGAGGTGACCCAGCAGATATTAGTCCCCTGGGGAGCAAAGAGAACAAAAAGTAGTTTTGAACTAGCATGTAGACATTCACTCAAACTCCTCACTCTGACATAAATCAGAGCAAGTGAATAGGGCATTCCACTTCACAGCTTCTCCCCAAGGTTGGGAAAGTTGGACCAATGTCCAATGCCATCTTTTCTAGGTTTTCTCAAAGGAATGACTTCTGTTTTCCCTGTTGTCTTAACTACTTTTCCTGATGCTATAATAAAACACTCTGACAAAAGCAGCTTAAGGGAGAAAGAGCTTATTTTGGCTTTCAGTCTGTCATGGTGGGGAAGTCAGAGCCACACGAGCTTAAGGCATCTGATCACATTGTATGTACAGTTAGGAAGAAGAAAACAGCTCACTTCTTTTTATATAGTCCAGGATTCTACCTCAGGGAATGGTTCTACCTACAGTGGATGGTTGTCCCACCTCAATTAACCCAATTGAGATAATCCCCCACAGATTTGCCTAGAGGCCCAGGTGATTCTAGATCTCACCAAGTTGAAATTGAGATTAACCATTGTGCCTGCTTTGTAGCACTAATAGAAATCAGTCTACTTGTCTAGGATCCAGTGAGATCAAAGATAATGATTGTATCTAGTATACTACTTTCTATGCAGCCTCTACCTTACTTATCACAAACCACAGACAAATCTTCTGTGCTGGTTAGTTTTTTGTCCTTGACATAAAGCAGAGTTACCTAGGAAGAGAAAACCTCAATTAAGGAATATCCTCCATTATATTGATCTATGGACATATTTTCTTGATTGTTAACTGATGTAGGAGGATCCTGCCCACTGTGGGCAGTGTCATTCCTGGGCAGGTGGGCCTGCACTATATAAGAAAACTAACTGGGGCCTTGAGAGATGGCACAGCACTTAAGATCATTGGCTGCTTTTGCAGAAGATCCTGGGGTGGGGGGTGTTGTAGTAAGGAAGGATGCAGATAGGGGAAAGGATCTAAATAATCTAACAATCAAAATAGATTGTGTGAAATTTGAAAAAATTTAATTAGGAAAAAGATTTTAAGCAGATTTTTCAGAAGAGATCTTACAAACCAAAAGGGAGTGAGATAATATATTCAAAGTGCTAAATGAAAAATATTTAAAAACTGCCAAACAGACTGAGCATGGGTGCATGCCTTTAATGCCAGCCTTTGGGAGGTAGAGGCAGGTGGATCTCTGTGAGATGGAGGCCAGCCTTGTCTACATAGCAAGTTCTAGGCCAGCTGGGGCTACCAGGAGACCCTGTCTCAAAATGACCAAAAATAAACAAATAAATAAACTTTAAAAATAGATTGTCGACCTCAAGAGTAAAAACAAATCAGTTTATCTGGTCCAATTGTATGTCCTTAAACACCCAAAAGGGAAGTATAACCAAAGATTAAAGGGGCCAACATAATATCATAAGAGCATACAT